ATAATAATAATAATAATAATAATAATAATAATAATAATAATAATAATCCTAATAATAATCCCTGGTTTTGGAGTGTGGGGCATGCAGAGGGGCAGATCTAAATCGTGCTCTACATTAGGATGCAGGAGGCTAAGATGCTCAGCTCACAGCACAGACAACCAGCCTCATTCATCACTCTGAGTTAAACACAATTAGCCCCGACAATAAATATTTAGAGGACACACACACACAAACAGTATCACCCAAAAACAGCGTTATATATTTTTCCACATCTGGTGTCATAAAGGGTAATTAAATACGTGTTATGTTTATTCCATTTGCCAGTATCAGTGCATGTGCCCGTTTCATTTTTTTTTTCCCGTTGTTAATTTCCAGTTGGATGGGAAAGTCATTCAACAGGTTTTTAAATAGAAACGAATACACGTCTGTGAATTGCACAAAAAAAAGCATTTACATTTTTTTCCTACCCCCCTTTTTTACACCCCCAATTTAAAAGCATCAAGTAAAAAGAACTAAATAAAATGGCGCGATTTATGTGCATCCTCTGTAAAGAAGCAACAGCCTCTTTCGGGGCATTAAACAAATACATTAGAATTCCGTCACTTTATGCAATCCAGTAGATCAAATAAAGGGTCTCGGGCCACTTCATTCTCCCTCATTCACTTGTATTGAAAGCGCAAAGAATGGTAAACTTAGACTGGGCCACCAATGTAGATTTAGCCTTTTTTCAGCAAGACAAAAAGACTGATTTTTCACAAACACATTGCTGACTGGGGAACTAGGAAACGAGCTGCGAGACCCTTTTGGAATTTAAATCCACCCCTCCCCCCACGGACTGTTTGCACAACAGTGTTAGTTCTTCTTTTCCCCTCACTTTGTGCATTTGTGGATGTAACATTAATTCTGGCTCTGGATGACAAGATGGGAATTGGACCTGCAGTGCCAGATTACAGTTAGACTTAGATTAATCGGATAACTCTGTTTCTCAATTATATAAAAATATATTAAGCAATAATTGCATTTTTTGATGAACCTGCTGAGAGGAGATACATCTTATGGCACCTGTGAGAAAAGGTGTTAAAATAAACTGTTCTAAATGCATTCCCTTTGTGAATTTTCTTTTGATTTAGAGTCTTTTTTCTGCTTTGTGTGGTTTGTATTGCACTGTTATAAGTAAAAAGGTTTGTGGCAAACTGCAGTATTCATTTACATATTTGACAAATTTGTACATGAATACAAAGCTTTGCGTTGTAAATTAATTCTAGCTGTAAAACAAAAAATCAAAAAACAAAACTTAAATGTTGCCTCTGAGGCCTGAAGTTCTAACGTAAATGCAGGATTAAAAATTCATGGATTAAATTTGAAAAGCAACATTTGTATTTTTAATACAATCATTAAATGCTCTCCTTCAACAGTGTAAAGTCTGCCAAGCAAAACAAGTAGAAAAAGGAGATTAAAAAAAAAGGTCAGTGTGTCCGAGCACTCGGTTCAATGACAAATAAATGAACCCTTTCAGCTTTTCCTCAGCAAATGGGTTTTGACCAAACTAAATAACAATTCACGTTGCAAGTGTGTGCATCACCTCAGTCAGGAAGTTTCTCAATCATTTTCTTGAACTGGTTAAATGTTTGTGGTTATGGTAACTCTCCCTTTAGTCCAGTCATCAGGGTTAAATCCAGTTTATAATCTGAGTCTGCATTGTCCTTGTTTTCCTAACTACGGTCCACTTAGACAAAGAAGAAGGTCATCACAGGCAGGAGATGAAATATAGACCACATGCAAAAGCCTGATGTTGTAGTTTAATTAAAATAATTCATTAAAGTGGAAGCCCAAGGTAATTAGCATGTATAATTTATGATTTGCTTAATGCATGCAGGCAGTGGCCTCTGCAATAAACTCAACTTAACCTCAAGTAAGGAACTGATACGGACAGGCTGATGTTATTTACTGTGTGTTTACTGTTTTGTCAAGAGTAAGCAAGTGTTTCAGCAAACCCTGACTGCTATCTGGCTCCCGCTGCACACAAACAACCGATTCTCTATCAGTTCAGGCTGGAGATTCACGTTCAGTCAAGAGAGGCTGTCATTTATTGCAGGAAAACAATATGGAGAATTTGACTTTTTTTTTTTTCCCGGTAGAATTCTTTCTTTTCGTTTTTTTTAATGTTCTCACTTATCCAGCTGGCCACTTTTAGTGAAAGTAGTTTATGCCGCCTTTTTTGAGCTGACAGAATGGGGACAAACACACCACAAGGTAGCTCCAGCCTGTCAGCGCTGACTTTTAGAGGAAGCAGAATAATCAGCCATAGATAAAACTTGCATTAATTAAGCTCGGCAAACGTGTCAATCCTTGACAAGCCCTTGACAATTTCAGACGCGGCCAGTGGCTGCATTTTATCATTTTTTTTGCAAGTTCATGTAGTTTTTGTAAAAACAACAAAGTAAAGCAAATATTTTCAGATGGAGCTGTGGACCACGGTAAACAGATTTATTTTAGTGGCAAACAGAGCAACTTGGGGCTCTCCCTATGAGTGGGAGATGAGCCACAGATGGTAAATATACGTTTTTAGTCAGAGTTACTTATTTGTATCTTAGACTTGTGCGATATTTGACCTATTGGCAGTTTTTTTCAAAGTTCAAAACTGTTTAAAAAACCGAGCCATTAAATCTGATTTTAGGAAATCTCTGCATTTTTTGCCGTGATAAAAGCAGTAATATTCTACAGGTTTAAAAATCCCCTCTGCAGTCACCAGAGCGAACATCATCATTAAAATCTAAGTGCTTAAATAATCGGGGATAGAGTGTGACTCACAGGCTAAATACATTACATGGCTTTGGATGAGGTCAAAGGGCAGGTATGGCGGGCCGCTGGAGGGAGAGACGGGGGAATGCAGCAACATTCAAGGCTGGCTCAGCCAAACACCCATGTGTGCATGAAATTAGAGTGTCAACATCTGATTCATGCTGCTGGGTGGTGACTGTGAAACAAATTATGTCAGCGGGTGGCAGCGGCAAAACTCCACTGAGCCGCAGCAGACAGTGGCTACCCAAGTTATGGCAGGCCATAGATTCTGCTTTATAAACTGGGATGAAAGTTCCTAATGCAGTAAATTTGAAGCTTTCCAGCCCGTGGTCTCGTCCATTGCAAAAAAAAGAAAAAAAAAAGGTTGAGAAAATATATTTTCAAGAGTTGTCCCTCCAGTCTGTCGCTGCTCTGCACACTCTGCAACTTTCAGTAGGCCTAATGGAAGCCGGTGTCGTAAAGAAGACTCAGCGGCTCTAGGAAACGGGGTGATAATTGACAAGAGAGAGAGAGAGAGAGTATTTTCCCAGTGCAATTGGGAGAGATCCTGCTCATATTGTATGTCTTATATATAATTACAACTATAAACTGGAAACAATTTCTTTTTCAAATGTGATTTTACAATAAATGTTAAAGCCTAAAACTGGGAGAGTTTCTAAAAACCAAGCTTAATTCTCCATTCTGTTAACTGTTTAGTGCATGAGGAGCCACTACCAGAAAAAAAAAATGTCAAAGGCCTTAAGGGGAAAAAAAATGTATTCTGTGATTTTTGTCCGTGTAAATAAAGCTAACCTGGCTAGTAATATAACACAAGTTGTGACATTCTTTAATGTTGCTTTAGCAGTAACTGTGACGCCTCACATTAACTCATCACAACCTGGACATGTGATGCTCGCAGCATTGAGGGTGTATAGGTGGTAATTTCGTTATTGCCTGAGTGCGAGCGAGTGCTGGGCGGGTTGAGGCAAGGCAGGACGAACAGAAAACTATCACTTTGCATTCATCACATTTCAGACACCAACTCTGACCTCCTCAGCCTTCAGCCATTGCA